CAGAGAGACAGCATAGAGACAGCATTGAGATAGCATAGAGACAGCATTGAGACAGCATAGAGACAGCATTGAGAAAGCAAACTTCATCACACTTAGGACTTTCCATCATCAAAAGACATCATTAAGAAAGTGAACTGGCTGAGTGCGGTGGCTCATGCCTGTAATCCCAGTACTTTGGGAGGCCGAGGTGGGCAGATCACTTAAGGTCAGGAGTTCGAGACCAGTTTGGACAACATGGCAAAACCTTGTTTCTACGACAAATAAAACAAAAATTAGCTGGGTGTAGTGGTGGGCGCCTGTAATCCTAGCTACTCGGGAGGCTGAGGCAGAAGAATCGCTTGGACCGTGAGGCGAAAATTACATTGAGCCAAGATCATGCCATTGCACTCCAGCCTGGGTGACAAGAGTGAGACGCCATCTCAGCAACCACAACAATAACAACAAAAAGACTGATCCAGTGAAGGGCTGGCTGCCTTGCGGACCAGGAACGCTCACAGCTTGTGAGAGTAAACATCAGGCCAACGAAACCACACCGGAAATCTGTTTGGAGCATCTACTAAAGCTACACATATGCCTACTCCACAACCCAATCATTCCACTCCTCGGTATTGTGCCTTCCAGCAATGCTCATAGCAGCCTTATTCACAGTAGCTCCAAACTGGAAGCAGCCCAAATGCTTATCGGCAGGATTCTAGGTAAACAGCCTGCAGTGCAGCCAGGCAGCAGAAGGGCACTGAGCAATGAGCAAAGATGATTCACCGGTGCATGCAGCGGCACAGCGGGGCTCAAAACAGCAGGCTAGGCCCGGTGCAGCGGCTCACACCTGTAATCCCAGCACTTCCGGAGGCCGAGACGGGTGGATCACCTGAGGTCAGGAGTTGGAGAACAGCCTGGGCAACCTGGTGAAACCCCATCTCTACCAAAATACAAAAATTAGCCAGGAGTGGTGGCATGCACCTGGAATCCCAGCTACTTTGGAGGCTGAGGCAGGGGAATCGCTTGGGCCTGGGAGGCAGAGGTTGCACTGAGCCGAGATTGCACCACTGTACTCCAGCCTGGGTGACAGAGCAAGACACTGTCTCAGGGGAAAAAACAAAACAAAACAGCAGGCAGAGGGAAAGAGACCAGACATGCAGGACAAGTCCCTTTACATGAACTTCAGGGACTGGCAGAACAATCTAGAATCAGTCACTGACTGGGAGCCTTCTGGGGTTAAGAACGCCTTCTGTCTTGATCTGGGTGGAGGTTGTATGAGCGCATCAAACTGTGCACTTAAGATTTGCACACGTCCTAGGGTGCAAATGCCTTGAGATGTACATTTAAGAAAAAACCAGGGCTGGACTGCACGGTGCCCACCCGCCCACTGTCGCTTTGCCCCACGCTGCAGGGCCTGTGTCATGGGTCTAGGTGGTCCCCAGGCCTGGTGCCCCAGAAGATCTTACCTCGGCGTCAATGATTTCCTTCGCCTCCCTCTTATCCGTAATGACTTCCTGGAAGGTGACCTTGTTGAACTCCATCACCAGGCAGAGGAACGGGGAGGAGATCTGTGGGGCAGGAGGCCCTTTAGCCGGCTGCCAGGGGCCGCCTAGGCCCTGGTACTACTGCGGGCTCGCCTGTTCCGGGGTCTCCCTGCGCTGGGCTGCCATCCTTCTGCAGTGGCTGTGGGAGCACTGCCCACTGGAGGGGGCTACAAGCCCCTCCTGCCCCACCTCCGGCTCCCTCGCTCTCCTCTTCCCATTCCCAGGCCCCCGCTCCACGCCATGCTCCATCCACACCAAGCTACTTGGGCCTTCCTGAAAGCTGCACTTGGCCCTGGCCATGGCACACGTGGACCCCTCTGCCTGGACCCCTGCCCACCCCCTTCATGGGGATAATGGCTCACACTTAAGCCCAGGCCCATTTCCTCCGCGGAGCCTGCCCTGCCCAGAGCCCCAGCAGGCCGGGTCAGGGCCCCCAATTCTGTGCTCCCTCCTATAGGGAAATACCCTCTTGGCTTCTCTGCACTCTCCTTGAGAGCATTAGGGGGTGCTCAGAGAATATTTGGGAGTGCCTGCAGTGAAGTCCCCTCCCCAACACCCAGCTGGAGTGGAGGGAGCGTGTGAGGGTCCTCTCCTGCTGGGACCCAGAATTGTTGGCCCCAGGCGGGAACACCAGTGTGGACCTCTCATTCAGGCTGGCGCCCGGCAGGAGGCTTCTCAGCCTCTCTTTACCTCCAGCACCCCTTGTGCCTGCTCCGCCTCCTGCTGTCTGCCTCAGTCCCATTGGAAGTGACTGGAAAGCTCCTGGCTCTTTGTAAAGACAAGAAGTCATACCGCCTATGGCACCCAGCTGCCAGACCTGGGTCTCAGTCCCCACTCAGTTTACCAGCTGTGTGGCCTTGGAGAGCTTGTGAACCAGAGCCCTAGGGCCTATCAGGAGCCCAGGGACAGTACTGCCTGCCCTGCAGCCCTCCCAGCACGTGATGACGGATGTGGCACTGTCAGCCAGCTGCCCAGGGGGCAGGAGTAAGGGGCACCCAGACCCAGCACCACCTGGGAGTCGGGTGGCTGTGGAGAGGGGTCTACTCGCTCCTCCCATGGAAGTAAAATCTCTGTCATCAGAGGCACAGGCTCACCGGGACGAGCTTGGTGGCTGCGTGCAGAGCCCAGGGGTCGGGCCCACCTGTCCTGGCCCTCTGGCTTGGCCACGTACTAGCTGGGTAACCTGGAGCAGCTCGTATCTGTTAGCCTCTGTTTCTTCTTCTGTGAAATGGATTAAGAACCCCTCCTAACGAGGAGGCTGTTGAGGCTCCTTTGAAACTATGCACAGAAAGCCCCAGCATGAAACCTGGCCCCAGTGAGCCTTAGGTCAGAGGTGGCTGCGTTTAGAGTCACTGCCATTGCCACACGAGCTGTTCCGACGCTGGCGGGTGGGCGTGCTCTGGGCTCAGTTCGCTTGGTCCCTCAGCCTGCTGCATGGTGGCTGAGCCCGTAGGTGTCAGCTCTGACCCACCTCGCTATTCCACGTGACGAACAGCTCCTGGTACACAGAGATGTGGGCGTGCCGCAGTTTCAGCAGTGGCATCAGCTGCCAGGATAGAGCAGAGGAAAGAGCGAAGTCTGCACCTCTCCATGCCTGTCTCAGCTCTTGCTTCTCTGTCATACATCCCAACCAACATGCGAGCCTCGGGCTCTGAGCCGGGCGGGGGAGCGGGCACAGGGAGGCTGTGCAGCCTGGTGCCTAGAAGCCAGGCAGGCAGTGTGGGCTGTCTCCAGCATGTGCTGGCTCTGCTCGGTGACTGGACCTCAGACTGTCATCTGAAAATGGGGGTCCCAGTGGAATCTGCCTCATGGGGATGCCACGGGGACTGAGTGAGCTGCAGCAGGCAGTGCCAGGAAGGTGTGGATCAGCCATAGCTGGGGCTGGCTTGAGGAGGTGGTGCAGCCACAGGGAGGTGGGCACACAGAGAGGTCCCACTGCCCTTGCCTCGGCGGAAAGTGCTTTGAAACATGCCCAAATAGGAGTAGACGGGGCTGCGTTAGAGACATGGAGCCAGACAGAGAACCACTAGCGGTGGAAGGCTGGGTGTGAAAGCAGGTGGCCTGGCGGGCCATGGAAGGGAATCAGCAACGTGAAAAGCCATGGTGGAGTGGGGCTCTGGCCGGGCCCCCCATGCTCTTTCTTCCCCTTTGTTACCGAGTAGCCTGGGCCCACAACAGTGCTTCGGTCACTCTATAGACCCAATAATGTTTACTGGCCAAGCTCCAGAGCCACCAACTCCAGAAGACAAACAAGTGACCATGAGATAGGAGTGGATACCGTCAAGCTCATGGGAAGTTCAAGAAACACACAGAAA